AAATGGTTCAAGAAATTTAAGCACCTTTTCTGTCATAGCCCAATGGTCATCAGTTAAAAGCAACTGACCACCTTCAGCCCTAGGATATTGAGGATGGATGAAAGTAGTGAATGAGACCTTATGTGGAAACAAATGCTTAAGCATTAGGTACGTAGAATTCCACCTAACTTCCATGTCCAGTTGAAACTTTATAGGCCTAACACCAGTGGCAATGCAATAACTTTTATATGCAACAATTCTCTGGTTAGATGAGTTTAAGAAAGATATTGCAATTCTAAATTTTTTCAATCAAAGGCTTAAGAGCAGTTAGGGCCTCCTTAATAATTAGATTGATAATGTGACATGCACAACGCCGATGCAAGAACATACAATTAACTGCATTGTCAAAATCATCACTATCATTAGATGATGCATTGACCACAACTTCAATGCCAAGATATTTAGAAAGAACAGGTCTAAGTTTTTGCATGGCTGATACATTAGATGATGTATTGTCCAAAGTAACAGCAAGTACTTTTCTAGTCAAACCATAATCAGCAAGCACAAATGCAACAAGATCAGCAATATTTTGTCCATTGTGGGAACAATCAATAAGCCTAAGACCAAGCACTCTCTTCTCTAGTTGCCAATCAGAGTTTATGTAGTGAGCAACAACACTAAGGTAGTCCTCTTTGGCATTACCAGAATAAATATCAGAGGTTAGACACACATAATTAACACTAGCAGAACTAACAGTCTCAACAAGATTAGCCTTCCAATTAGAGAAGTATTTAAGCATATCTCTAGTGGTGGTTTGCCTAGAGACTGAAACAAATTTAGGATTATGAGCAGTTCTAATGTATTCTTCAAATGCATATGATTCTCCCAAAGAGATAGGAACATCAAGCCTAGCAAGCAATCGAACCAGTTAAGTACGAGCAACAATAGGATAGTACTCCCAATTGTGCATCTACCATCAGGATTAAAAGAGATCTGTGACTGAGACAAGCAAGTTTTTTCACGCCTCCTAGGGCATTTATCCCTATGCCGGGTGAGGTGACCAGTGCCACCACTAGAGAGCCTAGAGTATTCCTTAGAGCAATGGATGCACTTAGCTCCATACCTGACCTTCTTACCATTCACTATTTTGAAGAGTTTCTTGAAATCAAGCCACACTGTCAAGGTAGAGGGACATGACCGCTTGCCGTTATTCTCTTCCCTGTCCACTGCTTGATCATCGCAGGGCTCGAGGATGATGGGAGCTTGAACATTATGGCCAAATAGCTCCGCGGTGTCCTCACGTAGGTCGTCCTTGTCATCATCTCTGGCCAACCCGCACAACCACCTCTCTTGGTTGGAACCGACCTCAAGCATCTCGTCGTCGGATCCAGCCATCGCCACTCGTCGATGCCTCGGTCCCTCAATGGCTTCGGATAAAACAGAGCAAGGGTTAGTAGAGATTGAGGGTTAGGGTTAGGGATTGAGCAAGGGTTAGGTCGATGGCAACTTACCTTCAAAGCCAGAGCACCAGAGTCACCGGTGAGGTCGACGGGGCACGGATCCGGCGAGCATAGACGATGAGGGATGGATCCGACGAGGAAACCGATGGATCCAGCGAGGTCGACAATGGATCCAGCGAGGACGAAGCAAGATCAAGGGTTAGGGTTAGGGATTGTGCCAGTGCCGGCCAGCGGTGGCCCCAGAGGCCACCGGAGAGCGAGAAGAGAGGAAGTTGGAGGCGAGAGAGGAGAGCGAGTCGCCGACGCGGCGACGCCGACTCACCGAGAGAGATGAGCAAATGAACTAGGGCGACACCACAACGGAGCGAGATGCGGCCGGCCCGTCGAGACGGGTTTTATACCTCGTATTCCAACGGCCAGATCTAACGGTCCGATGGGAGCAAGGCTGGAGATATGACGGATTCGGCGAGGAAACCGACGGATCAGGCGAGGAAACTGATGGATCCGGCGAGGTCGACGATGGATCCAGCGAGGATGAAGCGAGATCAAGGGTTAGGGTTAGGGATTGTGCCAGTGTGAAAGGTCGAGATGGCGACTAGAGGGGGGTGAATAGTCCTTTTTAAAACTCAATCGCGTCGGCTAACCGAAACAAGTGCGGAATTAAAACTATCGGTCTAGCCAAGACTACACCCCTCTATCTATGTTCTTTAGCACCTTTCAAATATACTAATTAAGCAATTAAGGTGCCGGGCTAGCTAGAGCTCACCTAAGCAATTCTAGGACCAAGGTCACACAAACCTATGCCACTAGTACTTTAAGCGACAAGAGAGCTCCTACACATGCTAGTAAGCAAAAGCACAAAGCTAACTAAGCTCACTAGCAATGCTCAATAACAAGGCAACCAACGCCTAATTAGAGAGCACAAATACTTAGCTACACAAACTAAGCAATGTGACTAACAAGGTTATTAAAACCAAATTAGCCACGCAAGGGAGCTACTTCTATGCTACACAAGCAAGAAGGTAATTAGCTAGCTACACAAGCTATCTAATTACAAGAGCAACTACACAAGCTTAAGATATATATATAAGTAATTGCAAGCTTGTGTAATGGGGATGCAAACCAACGGAAAGAACAAGGTTGACACGATGATTTTTCTCCCGAGGTTCACGTGTTTGCCAACACGCTAGTCCCCGTTGTGTCGACCGCTCACTTAGTGGTTCGGCGGCTAATTAGCATCACCCGCTAAGCCCGCACGTCGGGCACCGCAAGAACCTACCCCTTGAGTGAGGGTAGCTCAATGACACGCTTTACTAAAGTTGCTCTTCGCGGCTCCCGCGGGGCGAGCACAATGCCCCTCACAAGCACTTCTCCGGAGCGTCGCACAAGCTTCTTGCGGGCTTTGACGGAGACCACCACCAAGCCGTCTAGGAGGTGGCAACCTCCAAGAGTAACAAGCACCACCGGCTTGCAACACGACCACCTAGTGCCACTCGATGCAACCTCACGATGCAATCGCACTAGAATCGCTCACTCACACAATCGAATGATCACTATCAAGTATATGTGTGATGGAGGGCTCCCAAGCACTCACGAGCATGGACACTAAGTCCCCTTAGGTGCTCAGCCCCAGCCATGGCCGAGGGCCACTTCTATTTATAGCCCCAAGGGCTAAACTAGCCGTTACCCCTTCACTGGGCAACGGTCGGGCCGACCGGACGCTCCGGTCGTGTTGACCGGACGCTGGACCTCAGCGTCCGGTCGCCCACAGACGGCCACGTGTCCTGGTTCCAACGGTCACTTGACTTGACCGGACACAGCAGCTTTCAACTGACCAGACGCTGAACCCCCAGCGTCCGGTCGTTTCCAGTAAGGTACCGACCTCGACCAGACGTGCCCGGTCACACTTGATCGGACGCAGCCAGCGTCCGGTCACACTCCAGCTTCTGTGTCATCGTATGTCAGCCTGACCGGACGCAGCCTGCCAGCGTCCGGTGCATTCAGATCCAGCGTCCGGTCAGTTGACCGACGCCAGCATCTTCGCGACTAACTCGTTTTCACTTCTAACTTCATCACCCTTACTCCAATGTGCTAACCACAAGAACTTGCATCCGGCGCAATAGAAAATAGGCATTCTATTTTCCCGAAAGCGCCGAATCCCACCGAGCAAGCTTGGCGGGAGGGAGAGAGGGACCCAAACCCATCTCACCCCTGCAAACACCACCTCCTTTGTAAATGTGCCAACACCACAAAGTGTACACCACCATGTGTATGTGTGTTAGCATTTTCACAATCATTTCCCAAAGGATGTTAGCCACTCAACTTGCCACGCCACTCGATCCTAGCGACAATGCAAAGTTAGATCACTCGAGTGGCACTAGATGACCGATATGCAAACAAGTTTGCCCCTCTTGATAGTACGGCCATCTATCCTAAACCCGGTCATAAACTTCTCTACACACCTATGACCAGTGAAATGAAATGCCCTAGGTTATACCTTTGCCTTGCTCATTCCATTCCATCTCCTTCAATGTCGATGCAACACATGCACCAACACGATCAACAATGATATGATCCACTTCATATCATCACATGATCATATTGGTTCATCGATCTTGACTCTACTTGCTCTTCACCGTTGCTATCGTCCATCGGCGCCAAGTCTTGCTCAAGCTTCACCACCACGCGGTCCATCACTCCAAAGCCTTTGACTTGCCCTTCACGCTTGCAACCGGTCCATCAAGCCAAGTCTTGTCTTGATCTTCTCCACCTTGATCACATGACTCAATGTCATGTCTCATGTGCAATAAGCTCCTTCATCATCACATGTGTGAGCTTTGCAACATCTCCAAGCCATTTTCACCTCCATGGCATATGTTGCTCATACACATGTACCTGTGGACTAATCACATGTGTATCTCACATAAACACAATTAGTCCACCTAGGTTGTCACTCAATTACCAAAACCAACAAGGACCTTTCACAGTGCCGGCCAGCGGTGGCTCCAGAGGCCATCGGAGAGCGAGAAGAAGAGAGGAAGTCAGAGGCGAGAGAGGAGAGCAAGTCGCCGATGCGGCGATGCTGACTCGCTGAGAGAGGAGAGCGAGGCGAGAGAGGAGCAGGTGAGACGGCGCTGTGGGGGAGAGCTGAGAGAGAAGAGCCGAGAGAGAGGCGAGAGAGACAGAGAGTGAGAGCAAATGAATTAGGGCAACGGAGGGACTGAAGGAGACGCGGCCGGACAATTTTATACCCCCGATTCCAACGGCCAGATCCAACGGTCCGATGGGAGAGAGGCCGGGGATCCAACGGCCACCTATGGCCGAGCCGTGCCGCTGTCGGGCCGACCCATATAGTGTGCCATGCCCAAGCCAGCACTACAGGCCAGAATGGCGGCCTAGGCACGACACTAAGGTCGGGCCGTGCCAGGCACTGGCACGAAGGCCGTCGGGCCAGGCCATTTCTGGGCCGTGCTAATTAGTGCCGTGATTGGGCCGGCCCGTAGTGCCCGAGCCAAATGGCCAACTATAGCCTCTTCTTCTCCCGCATGCTCTGTTGTCAGATCAGGTTAAGGGACGGTGCTGACCGCCACCGCTGCTAGAGGAGGAGGAGGATGAGTTGTTGTTGGCCGTGCAGACGGTGTTCATGAACCAATAGAAGAGCGCGCGGCCGTGCATCTGGTTCACCGTCACGTACCCGGAGAAGTGACGGAAGCCCACCTCCGACGGCTGCCCTAGCAGGGCCTCCACCCGGTCAGCCTCCTGCCACTCGAACACCGTCTCGTAGTCATTGTCATCGGAGTGGTGGTGATGCCACCTCACCACCACCGTCCTAGAGGAGGCACCGCCGGAGAGGAGCATAATGGTGACGAGGAGGAAGGCTGCTGGTATCGTCGTCATGGTCGCTGTCGTTGCTGCGCAGATTGTTGTTGCTTGATTTTCGTTCTGTATACCTTCTCTATATATCTTCATATAGATGTATTATGTACGAGAGAGGGAGAGATATTTGTGGTTTCTGTTGGTTTCTCATATATTGGAGTGTATATATAGTATACTAGGTGAGTGCCCGTGCGTTGCAACGGGAGAGCAATTGTATATGTTTGGGTGATATTCAATTGGCACCATCAAAAATACACTAAAAAAAGGCATACCCAGTGCAGAGAGCTCCCGCTCTGTGCGGGGTCTGGGAAAGGGTGTCAGTGGCAAGCCTTACCCTCGCCTGTGCAATGCAAGGAGACCGCGACTCGAACCCATGACCTTCTCGTCACAGGCGGTAAGACTCTACCGCTTGCACCAAAAATACACTGAACCAAAAAAACTCCATTCAACTAAAATTGTTCTTTTGCCAAAGCATCATGCAAAGCTAATGTGGGTATCCATTTGAATAACTAACTATATGTTTGACATGCTCACAGCTTTTTCTCATATGATAATGAAAAAATCAATTTGCTCATAACAATGAGAAGAAAAGGCAGTGCCATTCTCTGAACTAAGACTGCAATGAAACATCTTAAAGTTGAGTTATCTGATACAAAGTGCAGTGAAACATCTAAAGTTCAATCTGATACAAAGGTAATTTTGAACTTTCAATTAATAACTAACTAAATATGTACAAAATTGGTTAAATTAACCATGTACAACTCCAACTTCAGAACTATTTCGAAATTTCTTCCAGCATCGGTGTTATGGTTGCTCTTGGTACTTGATCACAGCTCCAGAATGTTTATGTCCCTCTTTTAGGTGTGCACAACCTCTGCTAGGCTCCAGGGCATCTCTGATTATACAAAAATAAATGTGAGATGGAAACTTTTCTAATCAATTCACCCACTGAAAATAGATACCATTCATTCACTAATTATGTGCAGAGAATAAACATTCAATCCATTGCATTAGATAGAACATGGCAGCAAACACAGGAGGTGTGACTTCGGTTATTAGAATACTGGTTGGTTGCAGCACATACAGGAATGGAAGATGCAAGCACTGAGATGGATGGTTTAGTCATTAGAACAGAAGGCAAAAGAACAATTTGCCGAAGTGTATTGTGGTGTGCTCAGTCATTAGATGACTGTAAGTTTGCTATCAGTGATGAACAATTTGCTGAATTGTTTTATCTATAGAGTATAGAGTAAGTAATTTTAGGTTGAGACATAAATGAGGTTGACTATTCACTATTATTATTCATTTATCAACAAAACACAAGGGCTTAAGAGTCTCGAACCAAAGGGCAATGGCAGCGGGACTTACCTGGATCAATGGAAGCTTGGGTAACAGGTGCCGAACGATTTCAATGTTGGATGCAGAAACTCTGCATGCTCCTGCAGAATTGAGGACAATTAGACTCTCAAAAACTTAAAGTGGAAATCACTGCAGAGAGGTACACCCAGAGCTACATTTTTTCCCTTTGTGATTTGTGAATTCAAGTACGCAAAGAATTTATTAAACCAACAAATGGAGGATTAGTGTGTGTTTGCTGGCTATAATCAAGTTAACCAAATACTGTTGCTCCCCACACCTTTTTACATTGAGGAGTTACCAAAAACATGGATATTTTACATACATGCATGCAAGAGTAAGTTCTTATATCTTCTAAATTTTGAAATCAACATTTTCTGAATTTTAAGATATATAAAACTTCTGAATCCAACATTTGTACTTCTGAATCTTTGAATGGATGAACAAAAATAACAATCTTTGCCCCAAACGTGGATTAATCTGAGCAAACAAAATAGGCATATCTCTAAGGAACACATATTTAGAATGGCGTGGTCGTTTGGAAACAGAAAATATGCTTGGATCTTGCAAAATAGCACTACGATACTACAACTGTTTTTATTGGAATTGACATGAGAGAAGGATTTTACAAGGGGGACATGCCGGCACCAATATTTTCAAGCTGATATCAACCATTCATACATGAGAAAGAACTTTAAGCCCCATACATAGTCGGATATTTTTATAATGCAATGCACAGGCAACACAATAGTTATAGCTTTGAATTTTTTGAAGTAAAAAAACAAGTTAGCAAGGTCTCAATATTATTACCATCATGTCCAACTGAGTTGAGTGCTTCCAAAATTCTTTCATGACCTCTCTTTGATTGGTTCCATTTCTGAGTGTGCACTGAAATACAGAAGCTCACTTAGAAGATAGTCAAAAATTTGTTAAACAGAAAAAAATCCTTAAGAGGATGTGTTGATATTGAACAACAACAAATATGGTGTCTTCCAACATACCTTACTCATTGCCGACACGGCTTTGCTTCCACCTTTCATTTCATAAGTAAGAGATTGAAGTGCCTGCATGTTGGCACCTATAAGGGAATCAAGTCAAGGAATAAATGGTAGACCAGATATATTCACAAGTCGTTGCTTCAAGAATGAAAGAACAATTCTAGTCAATTTTCAATAACAGTAGCAGCCAAGGAATCAAAGAATGCCATCTATACTATCAAGTAGACAGATAAATAAGCAAAATGATATGAAGTTCAAGAAAAAGACATGACGTTTTAAGTTCAAGAAAAAGATATTTCGTTGTCCCTTGAACCACCTATGCATGTCCATCATCGTTCACCAACCCCTTTATGCACATGACCACATATAAGAAAACAAAAGCATGAATTAATTAGAGATTTATTCACAGCAATGAAGCATTACAAAAATCACAAGAATCATGCAGTAGCTCATTGGGTCCCCCGTCTGCTGTCAGTGTGCTATGCACCTTAACTGCAGGCAAAGTATGCTCATGTTTCAATGTCAAAGTTGACACCAATGCACCTTAACTAATATCAGGGTTATAGGTGGAACTTTAAACACAATTGAGAAGGTTTCAGTTGTCAGTTGTAACATAAACAAACATAAGTTACCTGACAAAGATGCAATAGAGTGAATACAATTGTGGATAGCCACTTGCTACTAATCATCTACTGGTTTGATTAATGCAATGATGTCCTTGATACACTTGTTCAGCACAATATTGCCATGAACAGATTCAACCATGCTAAAAGCCGACAGCCATCAAGTAACATGTATTTTAAAAATAATAAAAATAAGGAACAGAAATGGATCCTCTTAAATCTTAATAACACTAATCTACCAGGAGCCTTGCTCACCTCCCACGAATCAGGTTGCCGTAGTTGCCCTCTCCTCGCTCGCGTGCAGGCCTCCAGAGCCGCGGTAGCCTCCTATGCAGCCGGCCATCAGAGCAGCTCTCGAGGTGCTCACGTGGGTCGCTGGAGCCGCCCTCGCCATGCTTGCGTGGGTCGCCGGAGACGTGCGTAACCTTGGAGGGGCGCTCGCCAGGGCCGCCGCGGGGGCGTGCTCGCCCGCCGCCTGGGAGCTCGCCCGTCGTGGGCGCCGATCCCCCCCCCCGCCAGGGAAGACGAGGCATCTGCATCGAGTCTCACCAAGGTCACGTGTGTCTCGTCCTCCACAGGGCTGTGGTCCGCAACCGTTGTCTTGCTACAAAGACGAAGGTGGAGGCAACACCCTAGGGTTCGGGGAGGTGAGTTAGGGAAGGGGTCTAGAGGGATGCTGGGTGCGGGGAGAGCATGGGGCCGCCGGATGGCACGATAAGCGATGGGGCGGGCGGCACATCGATGCGGGGTGAGGCAGGGGTGGGTCGGTGGCGTACAGGGTGGATGCCTCCGCGAGGAGCAAGACCGGTAGCCTCAGCTTAGCGGCTTCACGGCAGAGAGGGAGGCGTGGGCGAGCGGCGACGTGGGCGAGGGGGAGGCAGTGTGGGAGAGGAGGTGGCTGCGTGCTCGTGAGGGAGCGCGATTGGAGTGAGATCGTAGGAGGGGATGGAGGGGCGTCGGGGGAAGCGGACGAGCGAGTGAGGCATCGCACGTCGGGCGAACGAGCGAGCGAGGCATCGCACGCTGGGTCGACCACTACGTAAAAACGATTTTTAGCAACGGGTCGAATTTTTTGTAGGGGCGGCTAGTGATGGAGCCGCACCTACAGTGTCGTGCTCGGGTGCCCAGACACCAGCCGCCCCTACAAATGGAACAGTAGGGGCGGCTGGTGATACGAGCCACCCCTACAAATGGGTCTGATTTGTAGGGGTGGCTCACTCACTAGCCGCCCCCGACGTTGCTATTTGTAGGGGCGACTGGTGATTGAGCCCCCGTATAAATAGCTCCGATTTGTAAGGGCGGCTCAATCACCAGTCGCCCCTACAAATGACCCACATATAAAACTGCAGCAGCACCTTCTTCCTCCTCGGGTCACTCACTCCAACCCGTGAAAGAAAGGTGGGGAGGCCTTGGGCACCTCCTTAAAATTGCTCTACAAAGGGGGGAAGGTTTTGGTCTCAAATCCTTTGGTGCAGAGGTTGTAGAAGGTAAGAAAATGCTATTCCACACTTTTTTGAAGTTTTAATGGTTGGTTAGTGAGTAATTAGAGTTTTGTTTTTCTCTCTCTTCTATGGTGCTTGAGCTACTTATGAAGCAAATTAGACCCAAGTTTTAAATATACTAGGGTAAATTAGGGAGGGGAATAAGATCATACCCTTATTTGGTCCTTGTTTCTTGATTTTAGTGAACAATTAGTTAGTTTTATGGATGTTTCATGTGCATGTGGATCTAGATCTAGAGTTTGGTTTTTTTATTAATTTTGTTTTTGTAAATTTATGTTTGATGAAATTGAAATAGGGTTTGTATGAAAGATATTGGGTAAAGTATAATTGTTGCTAATTGTTGTCTTTGAAATTGTTTATTGTAATCAATAAATATGTATTTTAATTATTTATGGATAAATGGGCCATTAATTAATTTTCCTCTATCATGGTGTGTTTATATGCTTCATGTAATTATATTAGATTTATATTCATATATATCTGAAGTATATACAATTATTCTCAAGTAATTATTAATTTGATTTATTTTTATATATATCTAA